AAGAAGAAGAAGAAGAAGAAGAAGAAGAAGAAGAAGAAGAAGAAGAAGAAGAAAAACACTGGTCAACACACATTTGGCAGCATGAGATTTAAGATTTGTTTTAAGCCAACTTGAGGTGGCTAATTCCAAAAGTTGCATTAGTTTTTGCGCACCAGGTCAATTTTTGCTTTATAAAAAACTGGTAGACTATTTTTATGTCAATTTGACAAAAGTCAAGAGTTTTCACACAGCATGGCCAATAGTTTAATTTAGAACTTCGCTTTAATGAATTAGAATACCATGTTGAACCTTTAAGTGTGTGAATTTTCGTCCAATTAAAAAGTGCGATCTGATATGTTTGGCCGTTTTTAGTTTCTAAGATCATGAAGTCGGGAAACAAACTTTTTATCTGCTCTGTCAAAATCGTAAGATTTTTCGGAGTCGCTATCATGGTATTCAAAGAATTGCAGGTTCGGTCCTATGTTGAGTCCTTGGGAAAGGCACTTTGCACGAATTTCCCGCTTGGTTTGGTCTTTTCGGAGACGGGCGTTGATCTAGGAGGTCCCGCCTCTTAAAAGAACCTACTTGTTTACTTGTTTACTTGTTTACTTGTTTACTTGTTTACTTGTGTAAAGGACCGACATCACTGCACAAGAGGCATTCCCATAAGCGCTCCGTCCCCTGAAGAAGCACATCTCGAAGTGTGTAGATGCTGACGGTTCCAACTAATGGTTGATTCCATATCCTTCTGCTCCTCCCACTCAGTCTTGAGCTTCTGCAGGCGCCCCATCCAATTTCAAGTTCACGAAGGCGCTCAAGATGATGTTAGTCCGTCTCTTCTTGTTCTTTTTCTCTTTTTTAAAGAACCTAACAGTGTTGATATGGGCGTTAAGCTATACCTTACCATTTTTTAAAGAAGAAAAAATGCACCCAAAAAGGCTTGACATTTAGTAAAAGTCATCATTTTAATATTAAATTTGTCAAAACTAAGTACTAAGCGGGTAGCACTTTTTATTCTATGGTACATATATGGATAGATAACAAGAAAATGGCCGCCAAAGTTTGGTGACTTCTAAAGCTGGAGAAGCCTTAGAAAGTGCAAATTTACTTTTGTTATGGCTTTGACCAGTAAGTTTCAGTCATATCCACACCGAAATGGGTTTTTTTTTCAAAAGGACATTAAAGCTGAGGGAGGGGGGGGGGGGGGGA